TGATATTGATTTAAACTGAGTATTCAAGTTATATCAATTAACTGTGGCTGAAGGGGTCATTGTCGGAAAAGGTACTACAGAAATGCACCCTAGCCAAAATCAAACTACAGAAACATACCTGGTACCTTAAACGGTGGAGAAGCCCATATTCCCCAACCCAAAAACAAAACCAGTTCATGTTGTTGCCGTTCGCCTAATTACGATTGTATGTGTGCATCGCAGAATATGGCCAGAATATTAGATTAATGTACGTAAGTCATAGTGTATGATCGTTTTATATACGCTCAAATGCAGCTTAAGAATGTTGATTTTAACTGTGTGTGGCATACAGGAAGTGACAAATACCTTAAGAACTGGTTACGCGCTTTGCGCCCTGCGGCGGAATTGAGTCATCCTAAGGTCATCCATTTCTGTATTTTGATTTTGGCTAGGGTACATTTCTGTAGTACCTGTGCCGACAACTACTCCTTCAGTTATACTGTGGGAAGAATGCTTTAAGCGAAGCAGATATCAGAATTCGCCATGTTGGTGAAACCCACAAACACGGGTATGGTGCTGACAAACCTAGAAACATACTCGGGATTTGCACACGATGATGGACTTCTAGCAAGCCCACAGTGAATTGCGGCACCTCAGATGACTGGGACACCCAAGCCCCCATTGTCCAAGTGAACACAAGTAATTGAGTTATTTAGGCTTCATATTGGTCTTAGGAGTTTATCAGTCATTTCAAAATGGTCAGTTTGGGGAAGAAAGTCAAAGCGGACATTGTCTGGCAGTGTTCAGAGCAAACGATCATACACTGAGTGAATCAAGGACTCAAACCCAGTGTCTGAAATAAATGCTTGCCTGCCTGCCCGTGGCTGCTAACCTTTGTGTTGAGCTGCATGAAATTGCCAGGTCTAAACAAGAGCTCACCTCATTAGCCCATTCATGTAGTTCTCTATACTATGGCTGCCACCAGTGAAAGCTCCCCATTGTGATAGGTGTCCACAACCATGCTTGGAGTTGAACTCACAACCGACTGACCGTTATGTTCACAAACAAGTGACGGCTGCCGTCATGCCAAATACACTTACCCCGTTTAAATTATTTTCTTTGTTTGTCAATTGAATTTCTATTTCATTTCAACTATCATGTCATCGGTATAGTAACAATGTAAGGGGGAAGTTGGGTTATTTTCCGTCAGACTGCAATTTCGAACCAATCTGATTAAACAAACAAAAAGGTAAACCGATTTCAGAAATCAGGTCAAACAAATTCATTATGATGGCATTCCTAAAGACATAAACAAAAATATAAACATTACTACATTTGGAGTTAGAGGGCAAATTTCAAGATTCTTGTAATGGCCGCTTACACACTGAGGGCAGCAATGTTACTGAGAGTGTAACGAAGGTGTCACACACTGCAAAGGAACTTGCGGTTTAAACTGTACAGGGACTCGACTCTTCATTCTGAGCTGTGGATTAGATTTCACTTTCAACACTTAATAAGACACTTATCATGAGCATGTGTTTATGAATCACTATCAAACAGTGATGATTCCAGGTGTTTTCGCGAAAAAGTGAGCTTATCCTGCCCCATTGGTGGCACCCATAACAAACACATGCAAAGGCAAGTCAGTTGTTCACCTGAAGAAACACTTGAACATATGGTACACGTCTAAATAGGAAATTTTTGAAAGCTTTACTGAGGCCTTGAATGTTGTAACCTTGATCAAACAACTTCTTAGCAAGAATGCCACATGTCTGCTGGCAAATTTTATTTCATTTGGATATACAAGGTGTCCTTTTCAAAGTCATAACAGTAATTAGAGTTCCAGGCTGGAAATGATTCTTGTCACTCGTGGACTTCTTATAACAACAGAGTGAGTGAGTGAGTGAAGTTTTACACCGCTTTTAGTAATATTCCAGCAATATCCCATTGGAGACACCAGAAAATGTCTGAGATTCACATATTGTATCCAGGCTGTAAATAACCGAGTCTGGACAAGACAGTTCAGTGACTGACATCATGAACATCGATCCACGCAGTTGGGATCGATGACATGCATAAACTAACTCAGCGAGCATATAGTAAAGATCATGGGATCCTTGCACTCCAAAGGAATGCAACTCTCCACATCTGCCCTACTCATACCCCACAAAAACCAGATCCACAATATTTGTATATTTTTCCAATAGCATATCAACACCAAAAGTTGACCACTACAACCAGACAATATCAACAGTCAGCTATATGAAGGCAAGTTTTGGTCCAAACTCATACCAATTATGCCATTTTCAAAACTTCTGAGCACGAAATATCCAAAATACTTCCCGATCAATACAAGTATTTCTGCTACTGGTCTTAATTGACTAAGTGTGAGATGTATTGCTAGGAAGGTGAGCAATAGTGGCTTTGTATAGAGTATCACACATGAAGCTAGTGAGACGACCAGCAGTAATTGGCTTGTCCGTGATCGCTGTGGTCTCCCCATATCTATGGCTGCGGCAGCCCACGACAGCTTGCTTGAAGGCTGGTTTGCGATGATCATACAACTTGGTGGTATTCCCGACAGGAAGTCATTATAGTGAGTGTCATCACCACAGAGGCCACCAGGGGGAGCCTTACATGGGACAGAGTTAATACTAGAACGGTTTCATATAATACCTTTTTGTTAAAATGCACTTTGAAAATGTGCCAGTTTTTCTTCACCAATTAGCTTTTCCTCAAGTGAGTGGTGATATACGAAATGATTCCCTACCCTGATGCCGGAGTTGGTCTTTCATCAAGGTCTTTATAACATCAACACTGAGACAGCTATCTGCCTGTAACTATTCACGATTGAGGTGTACATCCTGGTTTCGACAATTAATTGATTTTATTCGCCATCACTATTGACTAAACCTCCTGCCAAGCATAAGATCCCTTTTTCTCTACTTCCTTCAAGGAATCGCAAAGGTCACACCAACACCGAATCTATTGCACAGTAAGACATTGTTTTTATCCAAGGATTCTTCCTAATTCGGGAACAGAAGAAATTGAGGGTTCCATTCCACTCGAGTTCAAAGGAATGAATCATTAATTTTATTCAAAGACAAAATTTATCTAATAATCACTTGAGGAGCCAAGTTGTAATTTCTTTGGAATCCATCCAACAACACAAATCACCAGTCACAATAACTAAAAGCATCAAGAACCTGATCACCATAATGAGATGTAATTTCAGGTTTTAATTTTACGTTAAACGGCAAGGAGTTTACGTCCAGCACGAGGAAGGCGGTAACTATAAAAGCAATACTGCCATTAAAATTATACCCCCTCTAACCACACAACCATTTTGGCCAGTGAATCAACATTAAGCTGTCACATTGTAAGTGGGGTTTGGAGAGTGATGGAGCGTTACACAAAGAATACGAGTAAAGGAAATCCTTTTGTTCCTTCATACATGTTGTTCTCAGAAACCTGAACGAGTTAGGTATGTAATGTATTTGTGAACATGGCTGTACGTTGATTTTGAGGTATTTCAGCCATCACACCAAGGACACCAAAATTGGGCTTAATACATGTGTCCATGTAGGAATCAAACCCAGGTCTGCGGTGTGATAAGCGCATGCTTACACCTGTGGGCTACATTCGTGACCAACTCGTGTTATTCCGGGACAAGCCGAATAGCGACTCGTGCCGCTCTCATGGCCATTTTTGCGACCGGGTTCCGTCTTAGCGCAAACGGGCATACCCAAAACAATTGTCAACTCGGTGCGTAATAGTTCACATATTATTTCCCAATGTATTATATATATTTCAGATGCAATTTAAAGCACATCAGGATGTGCGGAATTATACGGTTTGATTAAACACATTTAACTGTGTCTTTGGTTTATTTTTAGATGCAAGACATATGTAAAATCAAAAATTATTTCCGAGGGATTCTTTGACGAAGAACTTGAAATCATACGCGCATTCTGATTGGTTTGTCGTATTTTCGCACATAACATTCATCGATAGGGGGACGAGTCTTCTTGTAGGTTACGGAAAGGGGCGAGTGGTGACGAATGCTGTGGGCTACTCCACAATAATGAATCAAATGGACATAGGATTAGTGATCAGGTTGCATAACCCTGCAGAAGGTGAACCAATTATTAGCCGTTTTGGTAGGACAGGACATGCTTACACCTGGTGTCAACACTGGTTTTCAGTGATCCATTTATATAATTTTCACAACTATTTCGCCCCTTACACTTAATGTAATCTGTTTATTGCACTTATATACCAACGTTTTTTGCTACTTGTACTAATCTTGACTTAAGTGCTAGCCAAGTGAGATACCATGCAGCAGTTTAACATGGATACCCCACTCAGACTGTATACGGACTCCGAGCTGACCAGTCCTACATATTTCATCCCCTCAATGCCGAACACCAGACAGGGTAACATCAATTTAAGTGCCATCTTTTGGTATAACATGGGGATCAAACTACCAACCTTCCTCTCTTCTTGATGACACTATCAACTAGACAACAGAGACAGTCATAAATTGTGATCACCCAATCATCGTTATAATCATAAATCTTACAAACTACCATGAACCTGATCAGTTCTGCAATACCAATGAAGAAAAACTTTAAGCTTAATATTTACTGTTGACCAAAAAAGACAACATTTCTTCACTTTGAAAATTAGACCATTTTACTCCCTCCTCATTTCTTCAAGAGAAAGGAAGAGAGAAAAGCAGAAAAGCCATGAAGATGTGAACTGAATATAAATGATCAACAGATACCACTATATCACTGCAAAACATTTTATGTAATACATCCTTTAAGGAGCAAGCTATTTCAACTAAAAGATTAAAAAAACCTACAAAATGTGCTGGTTTTTCCTTACAAATGAACAGAGAGAAATCACTCGGACGCATGCCAATGTTAAAGAGTGCCAGTCTTCATATAAAACACTGTGCTGTAGATTCTTCAGAGTACAGTAAATTTTACTGAGAGCAGTGATTAAATGAAGTTCCCCACAACACAGAGAAGCAACATAATGGGAGGGTTCCTGTTCTTCTGTCCTCATTTCCCTGAACTGAAATAAGTCTCCCTTTTCCTTTCTCATCATCGGAGGAAGATGTTTTGCAATACCTTATCTTCTAAGCGACATCAGCTGAAAAAGTCGAGGACCTGATTTACGCAGCCTTCCAGGCTTCACAGCAGACAAAACCCTCCTGCCTAACAGTTTAGTTTATCGCCATGTTTTTCTGAAAACAAAATCATTTAGAAACCCAACAAGAACTATGTTTTCTACCTTAACCTTTCAAAAATTCGTTCCTTTACAAATCTTTGAAACTTAATTCTGCAAAACATGAAGAGCAAAAACACTAAATCTCCCTCTTCTAAATCAACAAGAAGCAATTTCCAGTTCTTTGAAATGTAAAAGGTCACATGCTTTAGTCTTCGCAGATTGCCTACAGCAGGCTGAAGGTTGATATGGTGTAAAAAGAAAAGCAAAACAAAGACATCCGTCACAAAACTTCATCACCAAATTTCAATCAATAAGTCGTCTCTATTGTCCATTATGCGACTAACCTGGGGTGGTCAATTAAAGATTTGATCACTCTGAGACGATGCAAGGTAGCTTCAAAGGGGAACAATATGAGACATTATAATCAACATGTAATGGCAATGTATCAGCATTTATAGCCCCTTAATGAAGCTCTATTGCCTGTCAATGATGCACCATCAGCGCCAAGGAATGCCCTTGGCACCACAGGAAATAAACGTGTCATATATCACGCTTATTATGTGTAATTTCCTAATGCCTGTCCATATGTACACTTTCATTATAGAATAGCCCAAAGATACACTGCTCGACCTGAGCTTCTGGCTATGATAAATGTTTGTCAAGTGTCTTGTGTGTGTCTGATCACATTAATGTGGCAATAATAGCGTGATAATGACCATGTGGACACATATCAGTGTGTTCCCACTGTTCAAGCCCCTGTAGCAGCTATGGCAGAGGCCAGCAGTAATGGTGTAACAGAAAAACTGATTTATGTATACTCACTCAATGATCGTCCGTGATGGCTCCGTTGTAGAGTCATGCCCGGACAGCGTTACTGGGTGAGCAGCTTACATAGCATGCAGCCATTGTCCAGGGTTTGGGATAGAGGGAGGACAGATTCATGTACCTGGGTGAACAGCATGAATACACTATCTAATCATTTCGCTTCATCCAAAAATAAAAAATCCAATTTAATTTATTTTTGTATTTCATCAAAATGGTAGGTGTGTTCGTCATAAATGTTTTTTACTGTATTTCAGATCGGTGGAATAAAAAACACAGTTTTGCATTTTCATATTTCAATCTCTTGGTGATCTCTTGCAGATTCCTAAATTTTTAAAAAAGGTCTAGCTGCAGTGATGTTAATATCCTAGGATACCAAATAGAATCAATGAATGATTGACACGTGGGGTTTATTGATGAAAAAATAATATCCCGAGCCACAATTTCAAGTAAAATTGTGACAATGTATCCCAGTTGTAATGTAACAGGAAAACAAAGGCTTTTTGATAAATTTTCAATGTACCTTTTTTTCTCCTTGATCATGTATTTGGAATACTTGGCAGTCTGTAAGACCACCTGGAGCACAGTGAAGATGCTACACACTTCCATGAAAGAAAACAGTTTGATAAATGTCAAATTCTTAAAAAACATATCAGTGCCTGATATAATATAGGTATTAGGTGCCTGATATAGACAAACTGTTCATAATTTATAGATTAATCTTGCCAAAAAAGTCATCCAAAAGATAACATGAGGCAAGTGAGCAACATAACTGCCTTCCTCAAAAAAGAATTCTGTGTTCACAAAAATTCACAGATGCAGAATGCACACTACTTGCCTATTTTAATCTGGCCCACAATTGTATAAAATTATTGTATTCATTAACCGTAACAATTTCAACATTTGCTTTGAAAAAAATGTCAAAGAAATATATCAAGTCTGGACCAGTCAATCCATTGATTGATATCATGAGCATCAATCTACGGAACTGGAAAACGATGCAAGCATCAACCAAGTCAACATGCCGGATCTCGTTAGCCACCTCTTACAACAAGCATGGGTTGCTGAAGACCTACTCTAACCCAGACCTTCACGTGTATCAGGTGAATATCACTGAAATGTTGCTACAAACTATAAAGAAGTTGTTACCCATAAAAAAAATCCTATCACCATTAGTGAAAATAAATATTATACAAGGGATTCATTTATTGTCTATCTTTCAACTGATCTGGCTTCATACATCAGCCTCACAGGCATAACAAACCTCCTTCAGATAAACTATAAAAACTGACAACCCATCGAGGTCACCCTTCAGAGTCGACCTCTGTCACGACAGCAAATGGCACCATAAATGTTATCATCTATTGAGAAATGAAAGCAAAATGATCTGGCAACAAGATGTTGATCAATTAGCTTTTTCCTTCTCCTACTGGAGAAACCGAAGCTCTTATTTTGTAACCAGGTAACGTACATAAACTGAAGCAGTCTAACGAAGACCTATACAAATTTTATATCTCAACCATCTTTTATCTCAACCCTTCAGCATTACATTCATCGATTATATTTCTCTACCTCAATAAACTTGCCAGAGAAAACAGACAACTTGCCTTATTGAAGGCATTTTTATGACAAACTTACAACACAAACCTATTCAGTTATACCACACAATAAAAAATGAGCTTGGTCAATTAAAACGTTTGTAATCGGAGAATTCTGACAATTTGAAAATAAGCACAGCCATCAAATAGTAGGATGTGAATGTCGAGTTAGTTCCTTTGATGGTAGCTTTCAAGCAGGAGTAGGAGATGGCGTTCTCTTGTCATTAAGTCATCTATTTGTGTTGATCATGAGCCGGTCTTTGCTTTATATACAATCAATTGTTTTTATCATCGCGGCATCACAGTCACAGTCATTCATGTGCAAGAATCACATCCACAAACATAAAACCTACATTCAGAGAAAAAGTCCAATCAAAAGGCGATTTATTCTCAGAAAATTCAATAAGAATATGCGATAAAATCTGGCAGCAAAAAGCCTCATAAAAGCTGTCAATGCATTTGATGGAGTTGGTTGAACGAAGGGCAATGGTACTGCCTTGCTGAGGACGACACAAGACCGCAGAGCTGAAACACCACCACCACGGCTTCTTATCCAGTTTACAGGGTCATGATCTCAACATGAACAAAATACAAGCGGCATTCATCGCTGCACAACAAGATGACAACTGTGATAAGACATGTTTCGCAAAGGAACCCAAACAAGCTTCCTTCTACAAACATTACTTGCTTATGGGGCTGAATATAATATTCTAGGGGAGAGGGGGGAGGGGAATGGGGAATATTTGAATATTTATTATGTCATGGCTTCAAAACATGACACTATCATCTCTGAAATGAATAGCAAAAGAAACATTTTGGTTACAACTAAACTTTATTTTTCAGAACATCCAATATGTCCAGTAAATGATTTATTTTGGTTGTAATCCTAGCGACAATATTCTTCCATTTATGGGAACAGATAAACCTATGCATCTTCTCTCTCCTCTCCACCCCACCCCTCCCGAATAAAAGGTTAACCCCTTATGACAAGGCAGTTAGACAAAGATCTAGTCTCTGAAATGAAACGAAAATATTTTACAAACAAACAGTTATCTTAATGAAAGATTTAAAAAAGGAGCCCAGAGATATTATACATTTACAAGAAACAGCAGTAATCTAAACTGGACAACTATTATAGGCTGTATTGGATATACAGTAAACTACGTTTATAACGAACACGCTTATAACGAACTGATGGATATAACAAACTTATTTTTAGTCGCGACCATTTTTTGTATATATGCTGTCTGTACGCTTATAACGAACTACGGTTATTATGAACTAAAATTAGTGGTCCCCTCAAGTTTGTTATAACCGTAGTTTACTGAATTTGTTTCAGAGTCTGTATTAGTCTGTCATACAGACCCTTATACAAATAAATCTAATACAGCCAATCCAAGTCTATAATGTTTGAAGAAAATCTCTTGGCTCCTCTTTCTTAAATTGTATAACAATAATTTAACCACTTTTTTCTGTAAAATATGTTCGTTTGAGAGACCCGATGTTAGTCTAGGTCTGAATGAAAGGCGAACAAAGAAGTCTTTGAGAAATGGTGTTGCTCACCAGAGGTGTGATCCACAATCGAGAGTAGAGCCATCACACGACACTCCATGGACCCGTGAACCCAACTCATCTCTCATCTACACTGCACTCAATATCACTCAGATTTATCTGTCAGATTTTTACGGTTATTTGTTTTAAACAAAAGCAAACCATGGAGCTAAAGAAACCCTGTTCAGATGTAGGTGCATTCCCCTTCAGACGGTATCTGTAATTACACGCTGATGTACAGAACAGTATAGCTTATCAGGGACATGCTCTTTCATCTGATGATCACAAGAAATTGAAAGCTCACAAACGTACTGAATTGCATGTCAAAACTATGACGACTCGCATGTGTCTACATTACAAACAAAGAACAGAGGATGATCATCAATAATAAACAAACAAACCATGGAGAATCAGCCCCAGAATCTAACTCCAGCTGTAACGTTACAAGAGAGAAAAGAACACCTCTCAGTGTTATTAAGATTAGAGAATGTAATCTTTTATGAAATCAGAGGAATTAGATGCAATGCTCCAGATAAACATATCTGGATGGATTCAATAAGCCATCTTTGTCATGTTTGTTATCTTGTAGTCATGACAAAAACACATATTTGTCCGACTCGAAACCTTGCATTACCAACAGCAGTGACCACGACGGAGGCAGGTCTGCACATCAAATCGCAGCGCCTAAGACGACTGGGCCACCCATGCCCCCTAGAAGACAATGGAATGACACTGTCCTCAGAAGAGACAATACCAAGAATTTTAGAATTTAAACAGGTGCTCTATGGATTAACGAATCATTTGGGTTTTTATTGGTGTTAATTTTTGGAGGGTGTATTATACATTACCAAAACCAATAGTGAGCTGTCAGCTCCTCAGAAATTCTTGCAAATTTGAATTTGATTTTCCGCACTATTTCCATAACATATTCTGCTAGAGTACTTGTTTGTCAACTCTCAAAGTATACTGGACAACAGAAGATGGGATCATGAATATTGTTGTGAAATTGTGCTCACATAAAAAAATATGCCCACAAATATTCAAAATCCCTGAAAACAATTTCAGAATATTTTTATATTTCATAACCACAAAGTATTATTTAATTTTTAATGCTGGGGCTACCACCCATTAACTGATGCTGACCAAAGGGCATGTTGCTACATTTATTTAGTTGGCACAGACCCACCACTGAACAGTCAGATCTCTTTGAGAATTGATTTAAAACATTGTAATGTCCTCATATATTGACTAGTTCCTGGCAGGTCTTGCACTGCATCCCCTTCACGTATGGGAACAGATCTTTTAGACAATACTCCCTCATGACTATATATACCCTTCCCAAGTAAAACCGGAGATCAATTATTCAAAGAAAAAACATCTTAAATCACGAAAATTTGAACACACCATTCGTCTAAAATGCCCTTGAAATAAATACCAACAAGGTACCCCATCTTTAAAACAATGAAAACAAATAGTCTACCTATTACATTTTCAATAAACAGACAGTTCCACAAAACATAGAGGTTGATCTATTTCAATTCACTGATTTCCTAGGGTATTTATTTTCTAGTAATAAATATTGTTTTAACAAAGCTAAATAGCTAAATGTACAATCATAATTTGCATATTTATTATTCATAAGATGTCCATGTGTTTGTCCATTTGGGTAATGAACATCGGGGAAATATTCGTTCTTTCTTCATCATTGCAAGGGCACTCTATCAACAAATAGAATTCCAGACCAACTCACTATTGTGTCTTTGATGGAAACATCACAGTCACTCAATTTAGTGCTATTTCATCTGTCATCAGTTTGGTGAACGTACAGACATGGCAAATAGATTTCGGGGGTATACTTGTCAAACGCAAAATGTCACCTGCCATGGGTATAGATCAACTGGAATCCATACCTTTACAGTGAAACCATTAGATCCTGACATATCCTGCAGGAAATGATTGTGTTGTACCCTGAACAGAACATAACTTCAAACGTCGACTTGCACAAGTCTCTAAGGCAATAATTATTAGTTTAAATCACAATTTCTAAATTATATAAATAATAAGAACAAATTGTCCCAATTAGAGACTGGAGTCCTTCGACTGTCCACATATCTAGACTTGCCTATTAGGAGGATAGAATTACTTCACCTCCATGGACTTTTCTTTCAGTGGAGCCTTGGAGCAAGGCTACCTCATTATCCCAACTTCTGTTGGTCAATAGAATTCTTCACCCCTCACATTAGCCTTCATAAATTGTGACCAGGGACAACTGAGAACAATGTCAATCTTTGCAAACTCATAGACCCTGCAGACAACAGGCTGACAAATATGAAAAAAATGTCATAAAACCTTTTTCTCCTAATGAACGTCATATGTACGGGCATGGAGTGGCGGTGGACAGCCACACAGTCTCCAAGAGAAGCAGAGTACAAGTCTTGTGTGCATGGCAACAGATTCCCAGA